CNATCGTCGCGGGGGACGGCGGCTTCTTCGTCACCTCCGTGGGATCCGCCACGACGCCCGCGACGTCGAGGCAGATGAAGCCCGACGTCGTGTGCGCGGCCTCGCCGGGGATGCCCAACCCCCGCGCGCCCATGGTCCGCGCGCGCAGCGGCGACCCGCCGCGCTCCGCGACCATGGGCTCGCAGAAGTTCTCGAGGATCTGCCTCCGGTGCGTCTTGTCCCAGTAGTTGCCGCTCATGGACACGGACGGCGTCCGCAGGTTGTTTTTCGCGCCGTGGAAGGCGCCCACGGGGATGTACATCCAGTCGCCGGCCTCCATGGTCCCCGCGTAGACCGACGCGTTGCGCTCCTGGATCCACCTGCGCTCGACGAGCGCGTCGTCGAACGCGTCGAACGGCGCCTTCAGCGACGGGAAGGGCCCGCCGACGAAGGGCGCGCCCGCGTCGTCGGCGCCGTCGAGCTTCCCGCGCCACTCCGGCAGGGGGACGACGCGAAAATCCTTCTCGCCCTCGATGAGCTTGAGCCAGAAGGGCATCATGCCCTTGTCGACGTGGAGCGCCGTGAACGAGTCCCTGGAGCCGACGATGAGCTCGGGCCAGTTCGACTTGCCGAACTCGGAGTGCTTGTACCGATCCTCCTCGAAGACCTTGAGCAGCTCGGCCTTTTCCGTGAAGGGCGGGCAGCCGCACTTGAGGTCGAAGCCGAAGCCGTAGTACGTCCGCACGTTCTTCGCGTAGAGCTCCTCGATCATCTTGTCGAGCTCCATGGGCACGCCGACGCCCAGGCCGCCCCACTGGTTCAGCTCGGGCTGCACCTCGTAGCGCGTGATGGGGCCCGCGCCGCACATGCGCTTGAAGTCGAGGTGGGTCCAGTTGGGCGCGTTCAGCGACGGGCGGATGATCACGGGCAGCTGGTGGCGCACGTAGCGCGCCCGGAACTTCTTCACCGTGAGCGTCTCCGCGGACTCGACGGCGATGGCGCTGAGCTCCGCGGAGCATCGCGCCGCGAGGGCCGCGACGAGCCAGAGGCGCTCCATGTCGTTTCACAGCGCCGGAAGTCGCGTTTTTACGGTATGTTCAAGAAGCAGGGCAATGCGCGCATCGCCGCAGAATATATGTGTGCTGCCCTCACGGAATCCGCGGACTACGCCAAGGCGGCCCACGCCTTCTTCGAGGAGGCGTGGAGCGACGTCGACTCCATGGCCGTCTGGAACAGCGTCCTGTGGCCGTGACGATGTTCGAGAGATTTGGGATGGGAAAACAGTGAGAAATCGTCACCGTCATGCTTGGTAGGTCTGGAAGCAGGACGGCGACTTCACAATACGCACGAAGACCGTGGAGAACGCCGACGGCAGCGGCATCTTCATGGCCTCCGGCGAGGTCGCGAAGATGGACGTGAAACCGGAGGAGTTCCTGCCCTAT